ATGTAGGGATGTCGGTTCATAGTATGTTGTTCATAGTATGTTTAGGTGTGCATCATGTATATGTTTCACTTTAAGAGTGGGCAACTAAATTTCATTTTTGATGTGTGCTGTTGTGCCCACAGTAAAAAAAATGACAATAAAGCTCATCTTATCTTATCTTATCTTATCATCTTATCTTATCTTATCTTATCTTATCTTATCTTATCTTATCTTATCTTATCTTATCTTATCTTATCTTATCTGTTGCGCCACACATGAACGTGGCTTTGGAAGCTAACTGGAAACTGTGAAGTTGATTCAACCAAGATGTAAACATATACAAGGCTACACGTCCCATCTATTATCCCGGTCACTGCACTCTGCACCTGCTACAGCTTTGGGACCAAGCATGAAGATTGTTGAATAAATATCTCCTCCCTATGAATTAAAATGCTGTTTTTAAAATGACCACAGGCAATCAGATTTAGCTTTAAGCAAAGTTTTAAAAATTCTATTTACTTGTTAGATTTACATATTTCCTTCAGAGCTTCAGGAGGTGTATAGAGCACTTTGTCCTCTCACTTTTCCCACACACAGAATCAAATTAATTGGGCTGTAATGCTGAGAAACAAGAAGTGTAGCCATTTGGGAATTAGCTATATTCGTGGCAATACATTAGGGTCAATTTATTTTAGGATATACTTTGATATTACACTATGAACTGGGTTTACACATCATACTAAGGTATGGTATACCCTAGTATGATGTGTAAACCCAACCCACAGTATAGTATAAAAGTATATCCTAAAATAAACTGACCCTAATGTATTGCAGGAATACCGCTAATTCCCAAATGGCCACACTTCTTGTTCAGTCAGTGCCCTAAGTTGTGTTGAATATGAATGAGTAGCCACAGAAATAAAATTATGAATTAAAGAAATAAAAGTAAGCTTCAGGATATGGTGTAAAAGTCTCAGATGGCTGAGATTCCATCATAATAAATAAAACAGATTCTGAATTAGTATGATAAATCCAATATGTTGTATTACTGTCACCTTAAATGTTTTAGTGGAGATCAAAAGAGGACATCATGGAACAAAATTATTACCTTGTGGGCCCAAACCTTTCTTATATTTTACAATTTTTACTCATTTTCTTTTCAAGTGGTCTGATCTTTATTACTTATTTTTCTTTTTGCACTGACTCAACCCTTGCTTTTGACAATATTGCCAAAAAACCTGCAGGGACATTTCAGAACAATTATATGGAGCTAACACTGACTCAAAGGCATGCACACACACTCACACAAACACACAATCTAAACAGATAAGACACAAATGTGATTTGTTTATCTGTAGCTTAGAACTGAGAAACATGGTTTATAATCCAATATCTTTATTTATTTGATTTATACTCTACTGTTCTACTCAAATAAGTACCTCGGAAGCTTAAAAGGACATAATCCCCCAAAACCCTTTAAAAACATATATTGAAATATTTTTAAAAGTAATTAACAATTGCAATTCCAAATATGGTATCTTTAAAGATATTCCAAATATCTGAACATTGAAAACAAAAAGCAAATATATCAAAGACAAATCTGCCCATCTAAGTATATTGTATTCTTTTCAGAGAGTGGATTCTATTTATTGCCTCCAGGCCACTGAGACTAGCAAACTAGCAAACTGGTTTGGCTTAGTCCCAAATGCACCTAGGCTACGTAAGGGCAACTCCCCCATTCTCAGTCCTGTACAAAATGTAAATGATCTAATATCAAGATTATTTTATACAGCCAAGTTAAAACAAACAAACAAAAATCTTCTGTGGAGCCATCAACTCAACGTGAAGTCAAGAGGGATGATGTTAATTTAAAGGATAAAAACTGGAGAGATGGAGATCACTGGTATGATTTCAATGTTGTCAAGCTCCCAGGACCATAACAGAAGCAACAGATAAATATGTAATCCATAAGGCTAGAAATTGGAAGACTGTGAGATCTAGTCCTGCCTTAGGTACCAAGCCAGCCTTGTGACCTTGGGCCGCTCCCTCTCTCTCAACCCTAGGAAGAAAGCAAGGGCAAACCACTTCTGGAAATCTTGCCAAGAAAACTTGAGGGACTAGTCCTGGGAGTCAACATTGACTTAAAGGTTTGCATGTGTGTGCACACATACACGGAGACACACAGACACAAAACCCAGCTATGCTGTTTCTTGAGGAAAGCACCAAGAATTATCTATCAGTTCGCAAACCATCTTGACTCAATTTAAATGCAAGATCAATGCTCCATCCCAGGATTGTTAATTGATTACATCAGGCATGTCCAAAGTCCGGCCCGCGGGCCATTTGCGGCCCGCGGCCCGGTTTAATCCGGCCCTCGAACAGCCCTCCCTGCGGTATGTAAATGCGGCCCTCCCACGGCCCTCCGGCAAGTCCCATGAGAGAGAGAGAGAGAGAGAGACAGACAGACAGACAGACAGAGACAGAGGCACTTGCACTTCTGTCTCTCTCTCTCTCTCTCTCATGGGACTTGCCCCCTCGCAGGGCTCCTCATTGGCCCTGCGCCCGGATGTCCCGCCCCCTGGGAGAAGGGCGGCCAGGAAGTCCTTTTCCCGGGCTGGCCCCATCCCAGGCGCACGTGGTTGGGGAGCCATGCGGGGAAGCCCCGGGATCCCCGCTGGGAGCAACCCCCCCGGAGCCTTTGCTGAGTGGGCCAGCCCTCCCGTAAGCCGCAGCCCTGAGAGAGCAGCCCCTGCGATGTCCAGCCGGCGCAACCGTTGGCCAAGCAGCAGCAGAGCCAGAGATGGAAGGTCAGTGGCAGGGGGGGAGGGAGGGAGCTCTG